ACCCACCTCGGAAGGATGGAAGGCTGAGTCAACCCTGAGCCGGTGAGATTTGAACAGCCGAACTGTAGAACTACAGTCAGCTGAAGTAGCCTGCAGTGCTGCACTCTACCCACTGCGCCACCTTGGCTCTTGAGTCTCTTGGGAAGAGTTCGAGGGGACGAATGTGAACGTATTTGGGAATATTTTTTCTGACCCTCAACAGACAATTAACTGAAAGGGCCGGGACAGTTTTTGGTTCCGAAGTGTAAATGCCAGGGAAGGTAAACAAAGCAACCCAAATGGAATATTATAATTCTATAAATGACAAATGTACAAGAACCACGAATGTAAAAAAGAATAATAACTATGTGAATGTACACCTATAATCGTACATAGAGAACAAAAAATAAAACATTTATATAACAAAAAAAAAGAAGAAGTGTAAATGCCTGGCTGCTTTTTCAGGGGCCAAGTCCTGCCGGCAGCCTCCCTCCTGAATATTGTCGACGTGGAACTTATTTACGAAGACACCAAATATGTGCTTAAGGTGTGTGTGGCCCCGATTTCCACAAATGGGCTGAAAGGGGAAAATTCCTTTCTGGATGGAAGAGGGAGGGAGCATTTACGGAAGCAAAAAAAGCCTGGTTTCTGCTGCCCCTGACACAGGTCGCCCGTCAGTCCCTGACCACCTACGTCCTCCTAATGAACGGCAGCCACATTGAGATCGATGTGCACCGGCTGAACGACGGGGGGCTCCTCCTGTCTTACAACGGCAACAGTTACACCACCTACATGAAAGAAGAAACCGACCGGTGGGTGGCGGAAGGGCCCTCCTGCCAGACAACGCACCAAAGCTCACACCCAGGCCTCACAAGCACCCTTCTCCCATTGCACAACCGCTCCTTGGTCTCTCTGCTTGCTTACTTGGCTGAGAAGCTTCTCTTGATGGGGGTCTTGGAAAGAGCCGGTTGATGAGCTTGGCTGAATAAAAAAGCAGAATCCGAGGCTCTCCCTCCTTCTTCGGAGATTTTCATTTTCTTTCGTTTGCCTCTTTGCCTTCTGACAACCTCCAGGTACCGCATCACAATCGGCAACAAGAGCTGTGACTTTGAGAAAGAGAAAGACCCATCCTTGCTTCGGGCCCCCTCTGCGGGAAAGCTGCTGCACTACACGGTGGAGGACGGGGCCCGCATCTATGGGGGCCACAGCTATGCAGAAATGGAGGTAACCCTCGCACCACCCGGTGTGTGTGTGTGTGTGTGGGTTTTTCCACCGAGGAAAGTGGCTGTTTCTCCCTAATTGATTCTCTAACATTAACGTGCGTATTTGGGGAGCAGGCTGGCAGTCAAGAGACAAGCGGGCTCAGCCTTTCCTTCCTTCGGGCCATCGTGCTGGAGAGCATAACTTTGGTCCCCTGGCCAGATGCTCAAGGCATAATTGATCACGTTGGGATCATTGGGAAATCATCCAGGTGTGCAGGCCCGCTGCTCTCTTCAACAGGTGATGAAGATGGTGATATCCCTGACAGTGGAAGAGTCGGGCATCATCCGCTACGTGAGACGGCCGGGCACGTTGTTGGAGGCGGGATGCGTGGTAGCTCAGCTCGAGCTGGACGACCCCACCAAAGTTCACCTGGTGAGTAACGGAGCGGCTGGAAGCCATTTGGGGGAAGGGCAGCGAAACCCGCCCGGGAGCCACTAAGGATTGGATTGGATTTGGATTTATTACATTTATATGCCGCCCTTTTCCCCGAAGGGGACTCAGGGCCGCTCACAATTCAATCAGGGAAGGGGGTACAGACAGGGGGATAAAAAAGACGAGACATAACAATACAAAATTTAAAAACACACAACAGTCATACCATTCGAGAAGGGGGGCAACAGCTCTTTAGCCCCAGGCCTGTCGGAACAGCCAGGTTTTAAGGGCTTTGCGGAAGGCCTGGAGGGTGGTGAGGGTTCGAATCTCCACGGGGAGTTCGTTCCAGAGGGTCGGAGCAGCCACAGAGAAGGCTCTCCTCCGGGTGGTCGCCAGTCGACACTGGCCAGTAGATGGAATTCGGAGGAGGCCTAATCTGTGGGATCTAATCGGTCTATTGGAGGCTGCCTAGTGCATCTTTCCAGGGCTTCTCTTCCCCCCCCCCCCCAGAAGCGATGGGGCTGCCGGGAGGGCGGGGGTGGTGGTGGTGTCTTTCTCTTGCAGGTTCAAATGCTTCTGGGGAGGAACAGCCTCGTGCTAGAGTTCCTTTGAAGTCATTTCCAGGTCACAGGAAGCCCCCGGATGGTGGATTTTCTGATTATAACATTCTGTTTATTTTCTATGCTCTGCCCCTCTGCCTGCCCCCATGCTGCCCCCAGGCCCAGTTGCACACGGGGGGGCTCTCCCCTCAGCCAGCCCTGCCCATCCTTGGCGAGAGGCTGCACCAGGTCTTCCACAACGTGCTGGAGAACCTGCAGAATGTCATGAACGGCTACTGCCTGCCAGAGCCTTATTTCTCTGCCAAGGTAAAGAATGTTTTCACCTTTGCCTCTTAAAAACCAAGCATGGGGAAAAAAAGCCGGCTTGCGGACATCCTGGCTTGTTGGGAATATGTTCCTGACGTGCAAGGAAGCCCTTGGGAGATCTTGCTTTGAAGAAGGGCAAAGAGGGGGAGGAAGGCAGTGGAAGATGGCAGGGGGGAGCTGCTCCTAAACGGATGTGTGCAGGTTGCAGCAGGAGAGACTGAAGGAAAAGACCAGCTCGCTTCTCTCCATCACCCGAAAAAGAAGCTGATTTTGTGGGGATAAATCTTGTTTTCCTCCTTTCGGACGGTCCCCATTGCTGATCCCCCACAAATCTCCGCAGCCAAAGGGAGGCCTCTGTGGTCTGGCACCAGCGGAGGGCCGGATCTCCCTTGCTTACGTCTTCTGTGATTCACTCTCATGAATCCTGGAACCTGGAATGATGTACATTGTTTAAGTTCTAATAATGATGGGAAGCTGAGCTCAATGTAGAGAGTTTATTGATTTTTCCTCTTTTTTTTTTGTTTTTTTATTCCTTTCTTTTTTCCTTTCTCTTTTATCTTTTAATTTTTAACCTATTTGGTTTTAATATACTCTAG